GCGTGTGGGTTGGCCGGGGCTGACACTGGGCAATGGTCATGGCAGGAAGCTGAGTCAGCCGGGAAGGCACGTCTGCGGGAACAGGAAAGAGTCAGGGTGCTGCGGCACTGGTGGGAAGCAGGAGCTCCTCCATGCTGTGGGCAGGGGGGCATCATGGGGGCTGCCCTGCCCTGCCCCAGCCTCCTGACGCGGCCTCCTCCGGCTGTAGCTGAGTCAGCCGGGAAGGCACGTCTGCGGGAACAGGAAAGAGTCAGGGTGCTGCGGCACTGGTGGGAAGCAGGAGCTCCTCCATGCTGTGGGCAGGGGGTCATCATGGGGGCTGCCCTGCCCTGCCCGAGCCTCCTGACGTGCCATCCTCAGCCTGCTCTGGGTGACACAGGCAGACCTGCCGGGGCCCTGGAGATGTGGGAATGGGTGGTGGGGGTTTCTCCCTGTCCTGCTAACGTTCCAGCCCTGCTGCATCCTGGCTGAAGTCTGGGCTGAGATGGAGCCCCAGGAGTGGTCATGGGGTAGGTGCGGTTCTGTGGTGTGGCTGGGTCTCCAGCCAGCCCGGGGAGGTGGATCTTACCCACGCAGCAAGCGCTGCTTCTCCCTGGGGCTTTGTCTTTGACCTGCTGGGGCTTTGCATCCCCAGAGCACCCTGCTTGTGCCTTGGGTCTCCCTATGCCTGGGGACAGCCCAGCGTGGGCTGGGGAAAGCCTGTTCCGAGCTGACGTGAGGCAGGGAAGGAATTATTTTTCTTTCTGGTGAGGTTTTGGCTCTGCTCAGCTGGAAGAGGATTAGCCCATATAAGGGAAAACTGCCTCTCCCACTGCTTCCTCCCTGCCCTCTGCTCTTCCCAGCCCTCCGCTCTGGGCTGCTTTCCTTTCTCCCAGCAAGTGAGACTTTGGCAGCAGCGTGTGATGTCCCTGGGGGTCCTGGAAGAAGGAGCCTGGGGCATGTGAGCAGGTCCCTGCAGCCCCCTCACCAGGACCGTTGCTGTGCTGGCTGGGCTGGGAGCTGCCTGGGAGCCTCTGCCCTCATCCTCCTCCCGTAGGCATCCACACACTGCCATCCACACACATCCCAACTGCCTGCTGGTACCCTAGGTCTGGGGAGGCCAGTTGGGATGAACCTGTGGTGCAGCATGAAGACAACCAAGGGCTTGGAGGAGCCCAGGGAGGTAGCTGTGGGGAACGGGGTGGGTGCTGCTGCAGGGTGGTCCATATCTGGATGTCTGGAAGCAGGGGGTTATTTGAGCGCTCAGGGCTGTGCCAAACTCCAGGCTGTCGTCTGCTGGCCCCAGGCTGGGGAATGCTCCCCTCTCCCAGCCCCTCCAGATCTCAGCCTGGTTAATTAGACAAGAAGGATGCAAATCCCCTTGCAGGCAGAGGCAGGGCAAGCTTGAGCTAGGGCAGTCATGGCCATGAGGTCCCCTTCTTCTTACACCCGGTGGCCTTTGGGAAAGGCTTCAGTGGCCCTGAGGAGCGTTTTATCCCTGCCACATCCCTATCACCCAGCTCTCCTTCCTGCTTTCCCCTGCCTGGGAGGCAGCCACACTCTCCATGGCTCCTTCCAAAGGTGACAGTGGAGCTTAGGGCTGCAGGAGGTGCTTGAAGTGCCTGGCTTCTGTCCCCAGAGCAGTTTCCCAGTGGCTGGGCTCCAGCTTCCCAAGTGCTCTGGGCTGGGCCATTCTGAGGAGCTGGATGGATGCGTGGCTAATTATGGCCCTCCCGGAGGAGCCACCAGCTGTGCTGGGGCTCTGAACACCACTGTACTCGGGCATCGTCAGGAAAGCAGCCCACGGGTGCCTTGCCAGCACCCTTTTCACAAAGCCACTTTGTGTGTGTGCCGAGGCGGGCGCTTGCTCATAACCATTAATTTGCTGCTGGCTGGGCAGGGCTGGTGGGGCCCTGGCATGTGCTGATCCCTGGGCCTGCCCGTGCAGGCAGGGTTGGGCCCCCCAGCCCCTTCCCACCCCCAGCTCCAGCTGTGGTTTCCGGCGCGCTCCCCCTTGCCGCTGGCCATGCAGCCTCCAAAGCTGCTCATTTGCCTCATCCTGGCTCCCTGCTGACGTGGGCCTGGGACGAGGCCCTCTCTCCTGCCTCGCTGCTCTTCCTCCTGCGGGGAGAAGCCTTCCAGGACCCGGGTACAGGTCAGGCCCTGGATGGAGCCTCTCGGGCAGGGCAGACCCTGGAGCTGGCGGGCGGGTGTCATTGCGCAGCACGCAGGTGCTGGGGTGTCCCCGCTCTGGGGTGCACAGGGCTGGTGTCCCATCATGTCCTGCTTCCCAGCTCTCCCAGCTTCTGCGGCTGCTGCCTCCCCTGTCACCCTGCCCCAGCTGCCGGGGCTGAGCTGCGTGCTGCCAGCAGCTTATTTAGGAAAGGGCTGGGGCCTTGTCCTCCCAGCGTGCGTCGGAGGAGCGTTTTTCTGTCCTCAAGGCATGTCTGTGGGGAGAGCTGTGCTTGCCAGTGGCCTCAGCCTCCAGCCCCTTGTTTTGGGCTGGACCGAGCTCCATCGCTCCCCCAGCCCCTTGCTGCCACCCCATGGGCAATGGAGCTGGGAT